ATAGATAGAGAAGATAGATATGTAGAAGATAGATAGATAGATAGATAAGATAGATAGATAAGATAGATAGATAGAGAAGATAGATAGAGAAGATAGATAGAGAAGATAGATATGTAGAAGATAGATAGATAGATAGATAGATAGATAGATAGATAGATAGATAGATAGATAGATAGATAGATAGATATTTAAGCCAGGCATCTCCTTTCTCTCCCTTGGCACAGATCCAAACACGAGGAGATCGAGCTGGTGAGTGTGGAGGAGTTTTACAAAGACGCCCCTCCTGAAATCAGCAAATGGGACATTACGCTGAACGACCCTCATGAGCAGACCCTCTCCCGCCTCGACTGGGAACTCGAGCAGCGCAAACGGTGAGTAGGGCCAGCCTCAACGATGAGGAAGAAGACCCTTTTGTGCAGGAGCTCCCACCCTCTGGAACATTGTGCCCCTAATTGGGTGGGGGGGTGTCATTCTGGAGATGGTTGTTGAGAGAAAATTCCACTCCAAGATTGAAACTGGTCTTGTTTGTCAATGGAGTGCTTGTTAACAATTAAATTAAATATAGAGATAAAAGGAATAAAGGTGAAAGAAAGAAAAATATGAGAAACTTACTAGTTAATCTATGGAATGTAATTGAAATGAAGCATGAGGATTATTGTAAAAGGCTATAAGGTGAAAAGAGAGAAATGATGACGTGTTTATTATATTTCATGACTCACAGAATATAGTTGAAATGAACTATAAGAATGGTTATGATGAGATCAATATCAGTTTCTGGGATGAATGTGAACAGATTAATTTTTCTTTCTGAAATTAAAGCGTATTGGAGGCAATTTAAGGGGAAAGTACCATGCGGAATGTAACTGAAAAGTTATATATGTTATGCAATACCTAGCTGGGTATTGCAACGTTTGCAAGAAAACAACCAAGCTCAGAGAGCACCAAGCGCCCCCCCCCCCCCACTTAAATAAATAAAAAAATTACAATTGTTCTCATGCAAACCATCCTTTCTTTCTATACTGCCTGTTTATTCTGATACTTTTAACGCTTTCGGTTTCATAAAACGCAAGCCTTCTGCAAATCAAGGGACCCTCAATGATAATTATTTTTATAACAATCATCATCTATCTCCTCTTCTACAGGCTGGCAGAGAAGTATGAAGAAAGTTTAGCCAACAAAGAGAAGATCCTCAAAGAGATAGAAGTGAAGAAAGAATATCTGAGCAATCTCCAGCCTCGGCTTAACAGCATCATGCAGGTACCTTCCTTGGTCCGGTGGTCTTTATATTACCCTGTTAATTCTGGGTGGGTTATTGGGCATCCCTATCTCATAAGGTGGCTTGGTTTGTTTTGAGCTTGTGGCCTGAAAGCAAACTGAGCCATTCCAGTTTAGTACAGGGATGTCCAACGTCGGCAACCCGTGAACTTCAACTCCCAGAATTCCCCATGCTGGCTGCGACTGTAAAAAAAAAAAAAAAAGTTGATTTGCACTATCATGGCCTCTCTCTTCCCTTTTCTTTTTTTCAACCACTGCCTGCTGATAACCCCTGCAAGCTGACTTTTCTTGTCCCTTTCTGTTTCCTCCCAGGCCTCTCTTCCTGTCCAGGAATATTTCGCCATGCCTTTCGACCAAGTTCACAAGCAATACGAAATAGCCAGGCATCTTCCACCCTCGCTCTACGTCCTCTTTGTCCAAGCCAGCGCCTACGGCCAGGCCTGCGGTGAGTAGCCCGGAGTTGGCCCGCTTTGAAGGTCCCTCTCCTCCCCCCCCTACCCCCCCCAACTGAAGGAAATGCAGAGTCCGATCGCTCTTCGCAGCTCTGGCTGAAGGCCAAAGCTTAAATGGAGATGTACCCACCATACGGGCCTACCTGGTTGACTTCCCTTTTTTCTCCAGTTTTCCTAGGCTAGATGGGTGCACCTGGCTAGATTAGGGCTCAGATGGGGTGATTTACCAGCCACATGGGGCTACCTGGTTACTGAATGAATTGTTGTAAGTCAAGGACTCTGACACTCACTGTGTGTGTGTGTGTGTGTGTGTGTGTAGGACTATAAGATGGATGGATGGATCATGGGAGAGATAAGAAAGATGGGTGGATAGATAGATGGGTAGTTGGCTGAGAGAGATTGGATGGATGGATGGATGGATGGATGGATGGGAGAGACAGATGATAAGATGGATGGATAGATGGGAGAGAGAAAGAGATGGTGGGATAGATAGATAGATAGATAGATAGATAGATAGATAGATAGATAGATAGATAGATAGATAGATGATAGATAGATAGATAGATAGATAGATAGATAGATAGATAGATAGATGATAGATAGATAGATATATCATAGATAGATAATGTAGATGGATGGATGATAATGAGAAAGAGATGATGGATGGAAGGGTGGATGGGTGGATGAGAGGGAGAGATTGGATGGATGGATGGATGGGAGAGAGACAGATGATAAGAGGGATGGATAGATGGGAGAGAGAAAGAGATGATAGACAGATTAGATAGATATAGATATATACTGTAGATAGATAAGGTGGATGGATGGATGGATGATAATGAGGATGGATGGATGAATAGATAGATATATACCTTAGATAACGTAGATGGATGGATGAATGATAATGAGAGAGAGAGATGATGGATGTGTGGGGGTGGATGAGAGAGAGTGGATGGATGGATAGATGGGAGAGAAAGAGATTATAGACAGATTAGATAGATTTAGATATATACTGTAGATAGATAACTGATGGATGGATGATAATGAGAGAGAGGATGGATGGATGGATAGATAGATAGGATAGATCAGGGGTCTCCAACGTTGGCCACTTTAAGCCTGGAGGACTTCAACTCCCAGAATTCCCCAGCCAGCTTTGCTGGCTGGGGA